TAAAAGTTAAAAGAATGTAAATGAGATGTTTCATGAGGGTATGTATGCTAAATATTGCATCAGGACTCCGCACATAGAGTTACGTCTAATGAAATCACGTCATATGGCGGTGACAGAAAAAAAAATAAAAAAATTTGTCCGGTAACTGTGGTATTCCGTGTTATTCAGGTATTATTGTATGTTATTCAGATGTTATTGTGTTTTGAGAATATTCTCGGTGTTATAATAATATAATAAACATCAATAACACTTGAATAACACACAATAACACTTGAATAACACGGGAGGAATATTTCATTGTGTTACCAGACATATTTTATTTTATTTTTCTGTTACCGCCACGTGACGTGATTTCATTGGACTCCGCACGTAACTCTACGTGGTGAGTCCTGATGCAATATTTTTTCATTTTTGTGTTGCTGTTATTTGTGTTTTTTTTTTTTTGGAGAAAATATTAAGTGCTGATTAGCTCATGGCCATCTCCTACGACCTTTCCCTCTGTCCTCTGTGTACTCCTATTGGCTATCTGCAGGTGAGTAATCCACACCTAACATTTTCTCATACTTTTGAAACATGTATCTCATTTTGATCTTGGGCTTTTTAAGATTTGCTAATTTCTCATTTTATTTTGCAAGATGATAGTGTTATAAAATTGATATTTTTTGTGGATTGTAATAAAGGAAGATTTACATGTATACCGCTCAATTCTCATGTATTTATATATCTAGTACCACCTTATCTATGCATTAAAAGATGTATTTCAATTTTTAAATTTAGAATGGTGGTATTTTTTTAATGTGATGAAATATTTGGGTGGTATAAAGATAAAAAGGTAAAAATTAGGTGCTAGACATGCAAATAAGAAAGAATTGAATTAAAAAATAAAATAAACAATAAGAATTGGGTGGTATGTAAATGTACTTATATTAAATACAACAACAATTTAATGAGTTCATAAGTTGTAAAAAGAGCTGGAAATTATAATAAATTGTCTCATCACGTAAAACGTACACAGAGTTGTGCATATATTAGGTTATTCGGAAGGTACATATATGTTACATTTAGGTTACATGAAGAATTATAAGGGGTATAACTTAAGTGTAACCTACTTGTACCCTCTTAATAACCCAATATGTATGCAACTCTGCGTACGGCTTATATACGCAAATATTTCTTCATCCACGGAGCCGGGTGAAATCTTGCTGAAGAAGGTAAGTTTAATGTCAACAGTTGATAGAAAACATTATCATACCCTATCATGCTGTACAGTTTTAATTTATGGGCTTCTATCATAAGAAGAAATTTTTTGGTGGAATCCTTGATTACCATCCTCAAATCAAACACAGCCAAAGGATATCTGTTTGGTCTCTTCCATTGAATTTATTTTAGTGTGAATTTAAGAATTTACTTTATACATGTATATATATTTGGGTCATTTACATACATGGATATGCTTTATATCTGTGAATATATTTTTGGGGCATTTACATATATGCTACCCATTCCTATATATTTACATATCTAATATCTAAATTTTAATTTTTGCATTCATAACACCCAAATTTTTTATATCACATAAAAAATATCATTATTTTAATTAAAATATATTTTTTTATTCATAAGGGCACATATATGTAAAATTAAAATTTATATGTTTAGATAATGTAAATACAAAAGAATTGTGCGTCCTGAATTTAAAACTTCCATTTTTTTTTTTTTTCCTTCCAAGAGTTTCAGTCATTTGCTAACTTGATGTGAAGGGTGGGGTTTGAGTTTAAGGGTGCGTTTGGGGCAGTTTTTGCGTTTTAGGATATACTGTTTCTCCTTAAACGTGATCTGCGGGTCGACCGTGTGGTTCGACCCGCGACCTGCGTTTAATGTAAAAATAAAACTGCGTTTTCGAATAAGCGCGTAAAAAACGCAATCCAAACAGTACCGCGATTAAAAGTTAAAAGAATGTAAATGAGATGTTTCATGGGGGTATGTATGCTAAATATTGCATCAGGACTGTAGAGTTACGTATAATGAAATCACGCCACGTTACGGTGACAGAAAAAAAAATAAAAAAATCTGTCAAATAACACAAGGGAATATTCCTCCTGTGTTATTCATGTGTTATTGTGTATTATTCAGTTGTCATTTTGTTCTGGAAATATTCTATATTTTAGGAATATTCTAGGTGTTATAATAATACAATAACACATCAATAACACTTGAATAACACACAATAACGCCTGAATAACACGGGAGAAATATTTCATTGTGTTACCAGACATATTTTATTTTATTTTTCTGTCACTGCCACGTGGCGTGATTTTATTGGACTCCGCACGTAACACTACGTGGTGAGTCCTGATGCAATATTTTTTTCATTTTTGTGTTGCTGTTATTTGTGTTTTATTTTATTTTTTTTTTTGGAGAAAATATTAGGTGCTGATTAGCTCATGGCCATCTCCTACTACCTTTCCCTCTGTGTACTCCTATTGGCTATCTGCAGGTGAGTAATCCACACCTAACATTTTCTCATACTTTTGAAACATGTATCTCATTTTGATCTTGGGCTTTTTAAGATTTGCTAATTTCTCATTTTATTTTGCAAGATGATAGTGTTATAAAATTGATATTTTTTGTGGATTGTAATAAAGGAAGATTTACATGTATACCGCTCAATTCTCATGTATTTATATATCTAGTACCACCTTATCTATGCATTAAAAGATGTATTTCAATTTTTAAATTTAGAATGGTGGTATTTTTTTAATGTGATGAAATATTTGGGTGGTATAAAGATAAAAAGGTAAAAATTAGGTGCTAGACATGCAAATAAGAAAGAATTGAATTAAAAAATAAAATAAACAATAAGAATTGGGTGGTATGTAAATGTACTTATATAAAATACGACGACAATTTAATGAGTTCATAAGCTGTAAAAAGTGCTGGAAATTATAACAAATTATCTCATCCACGGGAGAAATATTTGCGTACGTAAGACGTACGTAGAGTTGCGTACATATTAGGTTGTTCAGAGGGTACATGTAAGTTACATTTAGGTTATAGGAAGAATTATAAGAGATATAATCTAAGTGTAACCTATCTGTACTTTTCTAATAACCCAATAGGTACGCAACTCTGTGTACGTCTTATGTACGTAAATATTTCTTCATCCGCGGGGCCGGGTGAAATCTTGCTGAAAAAGGTAAGTTTGATGTCAACAGTTGATAGAAAACATTATCATACCCTATCATGCTGTACAGTTTTAATTTATGGGCTTCTATCATAAGAAGAAATTTTTTGGTGGAATCCTTGATTACCATCCTCAAATCAAACACAGCCAAAGGATATCTGTTTGGTCTCTTCCATTGAATTTATTTTAGTGTGAATTTAAGAATTTACTTTATACATGTATATATATTTGGGTCATTTACATACATGGATATGCTTTATATCTGTGAATATATTTTTGGGGCATTTACATATATGCTACCCATTCCTATATATTTACATATCTAATATCTAAATTTTAATTTTTGCATTCATAACACCCAAATTTTTTATATCACATAAAAAATATCATTATTTTAATTAAAATATATTTTTTTATGCATAAGGGCACATATATGTAAAATTAAAATTTATATGTTTAGATAATGTAAATACAAAAGAATTGAGCGTCCTGAATTTAAAACTTCCATTTTTTTTTTTCCTTCCAAGAGTTTCAGTCATTTGCTAACTTGATGTGAAGTGTGGGGTTTGAGTTTAAGGGTGCGTTTGGGGCAGTTTTTGCGTTTTAGGGTAAACTGTTTATCCTTAAACGTGGACTGCGGGTCGACCGTGTGGTTCGACCCGCGACCTGCGTTTAATGTAAAAATGAAACTGCGTTTTCGAATAAGCGCGTAAAAAGCGCAATCCAAACGGTATCGTGACGTTTTCAAAAACACACCCGTACTTATAAGTTGCCCCAAACGGGCCAAATTGGCTAAAACTTGGAAATTTGAGCCTTCAAGTAAGAGCTCAAAAATAATCTTGAGGTGAGAGGATGATTCGATAATTAAAAGCATTAAAAAAAGGATATCTAGCTGCTTGAATGGTTTACTACCCTTTTTTTCTTTTTCTTTTTTTATGATTTTACATAGTACTATAGCTCTCCAAAATTCTAGTAATACGAAAATATGGGTTGATATGTACTGGAGCATTTTCAATTTTGAATGATAAATTTTCCTCATGGATCTTGATTTTCTTTGCTTTATTATTATTATTATTATTATTATTATTTTATACAACTCCTCTCGATCATCCTTCACATTTGTCTACATCCTAACTATCATTTATGCCAAACAATTCACTTTTCATCACTTAAAATCACTACTCCAATCCCTCCATAGTAGCTTTTGACCTTGGGGTCTGTTTGGGCCAGCTGTAGCTTATTCAGCTTATCCCGATTATCTGCTGATCAGCAGCTGATCCAGATAAGTAGGATGGTTGTTTGGTTTGTGCGTTTAGAAAAAAAATTGATTTTGGATAAATGAACATTCAGCCTTTGTTCTGAATAAGTTGTTTAACTGTTTGGTTTGTGTGTTTGAAAGACAGCTGATTTGCAGATTTTTGTAGATAAAAGATTATTCAGATATTATAAATTAAAATTTTTCAATTTTTTTTTAAATTCTGTGTAACATAAATTTTACACTAATTTTAAAATATATTAATTTAAATTTAATTTATTAACAAAATTATGAGTTGACATAATTAAAATATATAACATAAATGAATCCTTTTTTTCTACTGTGTCCTGCCTAACAAATAAAATTTAATTTTTATATTTATATAAATTTACCTATATTTGAAAAGATGTATATTTTAAAAACGTTAGTAT